AAATGACAAAACTAACTATTAATATTATTCAAAATATAAACGTTACGCGTTCGGAAACATAAAGCCGCTGTTAGCACGCACGCAATGTTCAATGGTTAAGAAACTTTCTTTCTTGCCTTTTTTAAGAAAACTATTCAGTATCTATCGATCTACAGTTCTTTGGAAAAGTTTTACCTTCCAAGTGATAAGTATAATACAATGCAAAGAAAAAAAAACAAAATTTTTTTGAAATTCAAGATCAGGATCAATTTTGCGATTCATTACATATTTCCATCAAATACAAGGTGTGAAATTTATCTATGATAGCCAAACTGTTCTTTCCACCCTGTACGACAGATATTTATTTTCTGAAACGGTCGATCTTTGCATTCGTGAATCGTGACAGACGCAGGCATGTCTTGTCTCTTGTACAGACAGCTTGAAAAATCCACGTATGTAAATACGAATGAAGTGCTTATTCGAGCGAGCTTCGTTCAAATAAAAAGTTCATTCCACAGATTTTTCTTCACATTGACTTCCCTGTGATCGTAGATGATCTGTTGCATTTACTGCATAATGTTATGTGATTGATAGAATTTTTAAAATTAGGAAATTTTTCGCGGGATTACTGTGTGGTATCTATGCCTCACATTTATTTCCGTCTCTCGTTATGCAACTACCACATATTTGAATCGGGAATGAATCGAACAAGAGGATTGATTACATCGTCGAAGCATAATGGCTGACCAGCGTCGAGTTGTACTACTCGAGGTGTACGTGCATTCACGATTTGAAGTACAGATTCTCGGTTTCAAAAGGGAATCATACGTGATGCAATGGCATTCCGACTGCAACTGACTTTCAATGAAAATTTCAAGGGATTCTTTCGTAATGATTTGCAAATTTAATTGTTCCAGGCACTTCTTAGAGGAGCTTTGACCCAACAGAGTGCTGTTATCCTCGTCTGTATGGCAATTGATCGTTACGTTTGTATGCTGCACCCGCATCATTATCACAAACACACATCTAAAAAGGTATGTTCTTTCTGTCTTTCTTTCTTTCTTTTTTTAATAAAGTGTTAGCATGATTCTTTGTTTTTCACGATCTTCGTAGTTTTCGATCAGTCGTATTAAACCGAGCTTTTATTTCCATATTATATTTTTGATTGATGGATTGGAATCATTGTGAAGGATCAGATCGAGAAAGTGAAGCAACAACATCTGTAATGGTTTTTCTGTATATATATGTACATTGCATGGCATATTTTCATTTCAATTTTGCATCTTATTTCAACATGCATGAGAGCTCTCAAGCGAGAATACCAATGTTGACGTATCGATATATTTTGAGTTTCTACTGCTGAAAGTGATGGAAAGAAAGAGATTGACACACGGTGAAATAAACACAAAGAACATTAGAGATTTTTAATATTTTGGTGGGGACCATTTCAGTCGAATTTTTTTATTTATTTAAAAAAAAAAAAAATGAACGTTAAAACAACAACTATTCTATTAATAGCTTTGGAACGTATTGGACGATAGTGATGGATTCAAGATTGATGGAATCAATTTTTAACGACGTCGATCGACTTCAATCGTTCGTATTTTCAATGTTTCTGCACAGTAAAATAACAATTGTTCAAGGACATTTTGCGCGACGTTTAAATATATTTAATATTTTAATATTTACTCTCATCTAACGGTTTACCATTTATTCGTTATTTTATTTAGTATTATTCAATATTTTAGTATTTTCACAATTGCTTTTAAATATATTTATCTGTCAGAGATTATAATTTACACTGGAAGTGATTTCACTTGGAAGACTCTGTGATTAGTATTTCATCGTGGATCCTCTGACTGATGTTCAAAGTACTCGATATTTTAATACTTTAATATTTATTTTGCTCCACTGTCAGAAATTCTGTTTACGCCCGAGGTGAATTTTACTTGGAGGATCTTGGGATTAGTTTTGTGCCATTCATCACGATCCTGCGACTGAAGTTTATTATTGCTATCCATTCACTTGATAGCCAGAGTCTCAGCGCCTCGTGCACGGACAGGCTTCCCGAAGCCTAATGTAATCCTCTGTCACTTGAAGCGAAGCTGATAGTTGCTACGAGACGAAGGGAAACGATTTAAAATTTCAAATCAACCATTCTACAGCTTTCTCTATTCATCCGTTTGATTTTATAATGAACTTCGTGGCCTACATGCTTGAAGCCTGCAACTTTATTTGCTGGAATTCCATCGGTTACTTGGAATGGCGGAAATTTGAAAAGATATTCATTAGCGTTTGTACTTGTGGTCTTTCAGCTTAGAGTTGGCTAATTGACGGCCCACTTTCCTCGTCGCTATCCCCTCCACTGCATCAGCGGAAGAGTGGGGGGTCACGCACGGCGAGGAAATTTCAATGTAGTGGAGGGGATCGATGCAGTGGAGGGAGTAGCGCTGGTCAGGAAAGTGGGGGCAAGGACCGCCAGTTAGCCACCTCTGTCATCGCTAATTTTATCTGATTAACACTGATTTAATAGTTTCTTGCTCGAGCTGATCATCGTTCGCCAGCGAACGAAATTTCAAATCAATCTTCCTGCGTAAACGTGATTGATTTTGCAACGAATTCCGCCAATTACTTGGAAAATGCTGAAAATCTGATAGGATATTCTTTAGGACTTATCCGTATGATCTTCTAACTAGTGTCTCCTGCCTAGAAACTCTACCATTTCATTTAATTAGCGCGTTTAACGGCTCCTTCGAATTTAGACGTAAATTTGTCCGCGGACTCGTGTTCTTCAAGCATAGCGTTGCGATTGCTTTCGCAGTTCGGTTGTAAGTTCGTCCGAGACACCTAATCTTCCCAGCGGTTTCCTTTGGTAGATTCGACCGCGCCATCCACTTTCCTGCAGTTACCAGGCGCTGGTTAGGAGAAAGGAAGTAATAACAAACGCCATTCCTCGTACTCATGCTCAGCTCTGAATTGTTACACCTGATTGCTTTTGTCGGGGGATTATTCATTATTCTGAACTTTCGTTCACCTGACCGACTGTAAACGATGCGATTTACAGAAGATAGTTTCAATTGATAAGAAATTTGGTAGGAAATCTAGGAAGAAATTGGTAAGGAAGTTGCAAGAAATTTAAGAAATTGTTCAGGGATGGGAAATGTAATTTTCCAATTCTCGAAACTGGAATCCGAAATTTTCGAAATTTCTCAGAACGTCTCGAAACTTGAAGTGTTGATTTTATTTTGTAAAAGGGACGCTTATGTCAATTTTTATTGGCCACTAACATAATACAGACAACGTATGAAAATACCAGATATAGATTCTTGTTTTGAACAACTTTTTTGTGAATTGTTGAGATATCTTTTTTCATTTTTTGATCGTTCCTTTAGATTATCATCCCAGAATCACGATCGATCACACGTCTGTTCGTATTTTCAAGGACGAAGAGAGTCCACGTTCTTCATTCATTGATTTTGTGACGCTTTCTTATTTGATTTTCGAGGATTTCGAGTCGAACGAAGTTTCAAATTCTTGGGACTCGAAGCTTTCTTTTTTTGGATTTCGCGTTTAACCGATCCCTAAAATTTATAAAGATCCTTGTCTGTAATAATTTCAAAATTGTATAGCATAATATCGAATACCTGAAACGTGTTGTCAAGTTTTTCACGCGAGGTTTGACACAAATAATGATGCGCTCAGTAGAAGAATTTCATACGCAGTGGCGTAGACTGAAGACTATTGTCCCTTGAGAATCTCAGTTTCAGTGTTTGATTCGCCTGTATCCTCCCTTTCCTTCTCGATTTTCTTTCCTCTTGTTTATTTCTCGAAATGGAATTACCATCGCTTGTATTGAACCCTGCGACATTCTTTCTCAATTCACTCTTTCATTCAAATTTGAAGAGTAATAAAGATTTGTAAGAAGGTAGATTTTGAAATCTGGACACGAATGAAAAATTTCTTAGAAAATCTGGAGATTTTAAATCGAGATCGCGAAAGGCTCGAAAGAATTTATTATGCAACTAAGTGACAAAAATTTGCATAAAAAAAAAAAAATAGTAACTGGAACTTGTTGATTTTGCTATTTTCTTTCTTTTTTTACTCGTCGAATTCGAAAGCATTATCTCTCGTTCTCTTTTTCTTCTTCTCTCTTTTTTTTTTTTTTTTTTGTCGAACAGCCAAATCGTCGGCTTCCTCGCATTTAGTCGACTGTCGAACTCGTTCGCAATGAAAAGAGATCCTTCGAGACAATCGAGCTTGCCTTTAAAGATTTCTCCTTCTCCTCGAATTTCATACTACTTCGAGTTTTATGCCAGATATCGTAAAAAGCTCGGAGTTGCTTTTCATTCCGCGTTGAAAATTAGTCTACGTCCGCTGATCGATATTACATTCCCATTTCGTCGGAGTTATCGTATATCGTGAAATATGAATTTGATCGTCCGGTTCCCGAGTTCTCGACTTATTTCAACGCTGTACCATGTATAATATATATAAACCGTGGCGAAACATTTTCTAGGAAACCGCTACGATTTTATTTTCTTTTTTTTCTTTTTTTATATACAAGGTGTATGTATATATCCCGTGTGAAACCTAACCTAACCTAACTAACTAACCACGCAGTTTTCTCCTAAACTATTCGTTGTAGAGGAAAATTTCACTTTTCCTTTTCAAAATTGGAACCGTATTTTACGAGTTCGCAGTCTCGTAGCTGACGAATTCAGCGAATTCTAGGTAACTGGGTGATGTTCCAAGGTCATTCAAGGTCAAAGCTTCGACGAGCACGAGAAACATAAAAATTTGTGGTACGAATGAATAATACATGGCCAAAAGTTCCTTCTCACCTATTTTAGTTTGTTTTATTTTTTTTTAATAAAACAGCGAAATGTGAGAAAAAATTTTATCAATTTTATTAATTTCAGATAAATTAAATTCAAGTTCAAGTACGATTTTTCCACTTTTTTGCTTTAAAAATTATTTCTTCCAAAAATTAAAAAAAAAAAAATATATATATATATATGATAAAAAAATTAGTGACTTTTGGTCCACCCTGTATCTTGTATACAGGAATGAATAACATCTTACAATATCTTAGCTTCGTTTACAAACAGAAGGTACCTATTTTTGTTACATTTTCCTTTGGAATAGCTCTTGCCAACAAATTAACCTCGAAAAAAAAATTGGAAAGTGCGCAACTGTCGTTTAGAGACGGAATAAATCAGTGTATTGACTTACAAGGTCACCACTTCGAACGCGAATGGTGAAGTGAGCTTTGAACGAACGATCTTAGAACACTTGGAATCACTAAATTCGTCTTGACGTCAGCCACAAGAAAAACCTCGAAAATATACAGTTGCATTGAAAAAAAATGAAGTCACCTTAGTCAAGCGAAGGTGATTTCATTCGAATTATTTCCTTCCACAGCCAATTCAAGTGTAAGAGAAAATTGCGTGGTTGGTTTCGCGCGGGACACCCTGTATGCAATCTCGGGTGCGCCCGATTTTTACCGCGGTCACTCCGCCAAGTTAACGACACAATGAATATGTAGAACAGTGAACTGGAAGAACAGCAGAGAGATGCGTGTTATTAGTTGTTGTCTGATACTTTGATTCCAATCAAAATTTATCCCCCTCCCCCCCCCCTCCCCCCTCGGGCGGGCCATAACTCGTGTACGTGCGTGTACACGCCGCAGGCTGTTAGGTTTGCGCATATGAAATTCGTCGTCTCTCGCAACTTTGAAGTTGACCAGTCCGTGGGTAGTCTGCCCTCGTTAAATCTCTGTTTGATCCTGCAGTTGTAGTTGTAAAACTACAGGGGAGGAGAAATTGATGTATCATTATTATTATTATTTAATGTACGTTCACCGTACTCGAATCGATTGATCGAGACATTTTCACTTCCTTTCTACCCTGTTTTCTGTTTCCAATTTCCTCCACTTGTCTCCGTGTTTACTTTCAGTTCAAATCCCCGGGTGTTTCTTTCGTCCATTTGTCGACGGTTTAATATCTGCTTTATCTTCCCGCGAGCCGTGGGAAATAGTAAAAATCTGACCTGTCCGGATTAAAACTGTCTTCATCTGTAACAATAATCTCTCGCCTTCGTTGGTCCTTTATGGCCTGAGCCATTAATGGTCACGTTTTAATTTTTCTTTTTTTCTCTTTTTTTTTTCGTCGATTTAAAATGCAGACATCGTTGAGCAACACGTTGCACGTTATTGTGGCTTCCACTCGTAAAAGAAGAAAAGCTCGAGCTTCTTCCTTTGCTTTTAAACGGTGTATATCTTTCCTTAGCTTAGGGTTGGCCCCATCTTGTCTCCCTCGGCGCGTACAAATTCCAGTTGAAAGATTCATTTCCAGCTAAAGAGAATGAATTCAAAAAAAAAAATTGGAAAAATACGAAGACGAACTTCGATCGATTCAGAGCGAATTAACTTTACATTTTGGTCGATTGGAGAGGGGGGAAGAAAAAAAAAAAGAAAAGTGAAGAAGGGAAATATTTTAATATGGTAGATGAACCAGAGGAAGAACGTAATCTGACAATTTGCTGACTCTCGTAGACCGTTCGGTTCGTAATTTTCCGCCAATTGAATGTTCATCGATTTCCACTGTCCCCTTTCCTCGTCCCATTGAAATAATAGTCAATGTTGCTGCCTGACTCTCTCTCTCGGTTAGCAACAAATTTCAAACATTCGCTTTCCGTGCGAGGCGAAATTTTTCTTTTTTTTTCTCTCTAGACATTTTGAGAAAATATATATTTCTCAACTTCAAAACGTTAAGGATCTCCTTTTAAATGGAAAAATTTTTCTATAAAAAAAAATGTACTTTAAAGTGTTTTATATTTATAAAAACTATCAAAGCGAAAATGATCGAGTTCCAGTGTTCGTGAGAGGAGGAAAATCGTGAGTGATCGCATTATTCGCGTGTCGATGTGTCGAGGAACGATCAAACAAAATTCACTTCGAACTCGGTTCATTTCTGCTTCGACAACCAGCCTTGAATAACAGAAACTGTTCAGCAGTTTCATCAGTAGTTGGAACACACTTACGTGCGAACGTTTATCGCCGAAGTTCGTGACTCTGCAATCACGGTTAGAATTTGCCTGAAATATCCAGATAGCGAAGCAAACTCGTGCAAACTCGTATTTTTGCGAATTTGAAATTGAAAGGTACACGCAATGGGTCAACACATCTATTTCTTTCTTTTTTTTTTTTTTTTTCATCGAAATATAAGAAAGCACTAATTTTCTTAATTTTTGCATTAAATTTCAGTTTGTCAAATTTTCAATTTACTTGTGCTGCTTTAATCTGTAACCAAAAAAAAAAAAAAAAAAAAAAAAAAAATTAGAAACATGTGTAATAAGAAAATTATACTTACGGATTTATTTTGGTAGGAAGTGATTTTTTGGCCCACCCTGTAGAATTCTACTGGGTTTTACCACAGTTTGAATATCTAATTTAGAGCTCGGCGACTGATCTCTCGTGGCCGAGAATTTCCGAAATTTTCGCAAATGATATGCACATAGAAACGATGGCCGATCGGGGGCCAAATATTGAATGCAAGCGTTTTAATGAATTTGTTCATGATTAATGATATGCACATGTCTCGCACGCGCGTTTGATCTCGAAACATTTCGAAAACGTTCGAACAATCGATAGTATTCGTTCGTGTCTTTCGATTCGTGGAATGTATTATATTTTCTTAACGAGCACTTAACGACATGTTGGATGTAATTTAATAATCAGAAATTATCGTCTCTTCTTGGCATTATTATACTATATCTGTTACATACAAGATATATATAGTATAATCTTATGGTATATATAGTATATCTATAGTACATAGTATATAGTATATAGTATATCTATAGTACATAGTATATAGTATATAGTATATCTATAATACATAGTATATAGTATATAGTATATCTATAGTACATAGTACATAGTATATAGTACATAGTACATAGTACATAGTACATAGTATATAGTATATAGTATATCTATAGTATATAGTATGTAGTTATAATGTATATAGTATATCTATAGTATATACAGTATAGTATCTATAGTATCTATAGTTAGTCGTATATATAGTATGTCTATAGTATACAGTATATATACTATCTATAGTATATACTATAGTATAACCGTGTGCGTGAGAGATGAACGAATTAAATATTACTTCTGTATTTTTTCTTCTTCTTCTTCTTTTTTTTTCACGTCGTTTCGCTTTGCAACGCACGTTTCCTCCCCCAGGCAACGCGTTATTACACTTTTCTGCCTTTTGTTGCAACGTAATTGGAAGGAAGCGAAGACAACGAGCTACACGCTTGTGTATGTGTGTGTGTGTGTTTCTCATTTATTCCGCGCGAATTATTTGTTTCACGGTTATGTGGCATACAGGCATACCAACTAAGGTTGTCATTCAGAAACTAGCCAATTTTTCGGCCAATCGTTTTCACTTTCACTCGATGTGAATTTATCTTTCGGGCGCGAGACACCAGCTTTGGGAACATTAGTCTCTCTCTCCCTCTCTTTCAAATTAGTACAAATGGACGTTGATATTAACACAAAGCTCGCTAAAGCCGCGGCTAATTCCTCGAGCTGTGCTATCCTATTGAAAATATGCGAATCGACGGTGAACGGAAGATCCGAGTTTTCACCCTCGGAGGGCAAAGCAGCAATGAAAAATCAACCTTCCTTTCTCCTTTTTCAATCGTTCAGTCTAGAGAAATAGAGGGAAAATCCACACGATTGAAAAGTGAAATACGATTGCCGCTCTCTTAACACGTTCGTTCTACACTCTGATTTCAGCTAGATCGATAATTATACAGGGTGGGCCAAAAGTTACTTCCCACTAAAAGTAATGAATAATAAAAAAAAAAAAAGAGTAACAATAGAAGGAACAATTTTTAAAACATGAACCATCACGTTTGAACTTGAATTTTAATTTAAAATTAATAAAATTAATAAAACCTTACATTTTGATGTTTGGTTAAAAAAGAATCAATAAAACTAACTTTTATTTCGATTTAAAAAATTTAACAAAATTATCTTACGTTTTATTAGAATAAAAAAATTAATAAAATTACTCTTACATATTGATGTTTTATTAAAAAAAAAAAAAAAGAAAATAGGTGGGAAGAAACTTTAGTCCATCCCTATATATATATATATATATATATATATGCATGTTACTTACATATGTTCAAACGCTCGGGAGAAAGAAATGGAAGAATGATTATTTTCTGTGTATGTGACGCAGTATTACATGCGGCAGGGTTGCGTGGCAGTGATGTCGACCACTTGGATAGCAAGCGTGGCGATTTTCGGTGCTCTCGTACTCCCAAGAGGTGGTTATTACTTCAACGGCTCTGGTCTCCTTGCCTGCGACCCTTTTTTCGCCAGGGCTTCCCTTAGGTATTTTTCACCTGTTCATAGTTGAAAGAAAGAGAAAAGAAAAGAAAAAAGGAAAAAAGAAATCTGTCACAGCTGAGCGCATTCTATATGAATGTACAAGCTTTAAAGACAGAGAAGGTTCCATAAGATTAATCCTTCTAAAACCTCTGCCTTTACTTCATAAAATCATCCGAGGAGGACACTTTGATACTCGATGGAAACAAATCTATATTATACTATATCACATCTACACCATATCTATACTATACTATACTATATCTACACAATATTTATACTATACTATACACATTTATACTATACTATATCTATACTATACTATACAATATCTGCACTATATTTATACTACACTATATCTATACTATACTATACAATATCTACACTATATTTATACTATACTATACTATACAATATCTACACAATATTTATACTACACTATATCTATACTATACTATACAATATTTACACTATATTTATACTATACTACACTATACCTATAATATACTATATCTACACTATATCTGAACTAACTATACTATACTATATCTATACTATATCTACACTACATCTGTACTATACTATAAAATACTATTTCTATACTGTACTATAAAATACTACATCTATACTATAAAATACTATATCTACACTATACTATACTGTACTATGAAGTATAAGTATGTTATAGGTAACTAATGGTCAATGACGTCGATTTTGAACCAAAGCACAGAAAAAGAGAGAAAAGGAGAAGAGATCTTCACCATCTCCGACGATTCGTTCAAATTTCAAATGTTGTTCAAATTTCGGAAATTGACCAATTGCTCATCATTGTGCACCCTGTACACGTGCATTCGATTTGTTTCATCGAGAATGTCTTCTCCCTCCTTCACCACTTCCCAACGCTCTTTTGCAAATCGGTTCGCGCGCCAGGTGAAAACCAGGAGAGGAAATTTATTCTGTTTTCCCCTTATTTGCAGGATTCTCGCGTGCTGTTGTTTTTACTTTCCTACAACGATGGTGCTGATGTACTGCTACGGCTCGGCCTTTCACGTGAACAAACTGCGCCTGAAAAGGGTGGTTTGCGTTAACACGCCGGAGGTCGTTAGCGGAGGCCACATGGAGAGGGTAAGTCAAGTTTGCCACCACTCGAACCTCTCCCTTCCCCCCACCCCCACCCCAATCGATAGGCTCGATTTAAAAGGAACCCGGCCGGCAAACAAAACCGCGACGGCCCGCTTAACGATTCGCTGGATTGCTCGATGCTCAATCGGACACGACACTTAATGAAGTGGCTTTACACCCACTGCTTGGTGGCGTGATCAATCTCAATAATATATTGTACTTGGAAGTACAGCGTGTTTTAATAAGAGCGCGGTGGATGCTGTTTCTCTGACAGAAGAAAGAAATATTTTTTTTTTTGTAAAAATTTTTGTAAAAACTCAGAAACGGAGTGCACGTTCTTATTGAAACGTTGGAACTGCCGGCGATTGCATAAAATTTCCCAAAAATAGAGAAACTTTATAATACAACGGCGTGTGCAAGCTTTTGTTCGTATATTTTGCGAGAAATTGTTTTACACACACGCTGTGTGTTACGTCTAGAAAGTGGCCATCTTGATAATTCTAGTGTTAAACACGCTTGTAACTTTCTGAGAAACGTTGCTTGAATCGGTAGATCGAAGATTCTTCGCAGCTTCGTCGATAGATTCTGAATAAACATCCAAGTCGTTCGTTTTCTTCATTCATTTAACTCCTCGTTGGTTCTATCAACTTCAAAGGAACCGTGAAGAATTGAAATTAAAAATTTCAGTAATAAAGTTTCAAGTAACGTTAACAACAAGGTTAAGGCTTTACCGAGCGTGAAACTTTTCTTTTCCGGGAATTTTCAATATCTTCAATCGTTGCAAAATTGCAGCGAACCGATTGGCAAATCTTTTGAACGCCAACGTTACGCGAATAAATAAATTAATTTACGCCTGCTCCCCTGTTAATTGCGACGCGCGAAATTTGATGAAAATTGGTGCGGAAAAGTTCGAGATATCGGTTGAAATTCACGCCGATGTTTCCACGAGCACGTGGTGCGATCGTTACATCGCTCTTCGCCGCTCTACTATTATTGTTATGCAAACGATTCACACGTCTGCATATAAGGCACGGTTTAATTTTGTCTGTTAATGTTTCGTAGCTTATTACCATCCGAAAGGACTGATAGGTCTAGTCGGATACGTGAGACATTCTCCCCCAAAATTCTATCGCCTATTTGCGATTAATCGAAGGAATTATTCGACTTCTTCTAACGTAAATTTAACAATTAAGAATTTCCCAACATGTATCTTAAAATTTAGTGACTAACTTTATTCTGAACCGCAGATTCATTGTATAATCGAATAGCTGATTATTCGAGGTTGTTTTAGTAAAGGAAAATGTAATCTCTGTTAATGATCGTTCGTTTGGCGTCGATTTCCAAATGGAAAGCCAAAGAGGAACATTCTCGATCGAAAAAAGGAAAAAAAAAAAAGAAACGTGCAAGTTCATAAAAATGATGAAGAATTCTTCAAATTCTTGGTGAAATGTTCTACGAAATCTTTTTACTAAATTTCATTACTAATCAGAGGATAATCAAATCGTTCTTGGTCGAAAAAGATAAGAAGTTGAGTGAAAAATGGTAAAATGGTAAAAAATCGAGCAAAATGGACAATTGCCTAATAAAGTTTTTATTTCTCACGAAGAATTCGCCTCTCATTTGCACACACACATACATACAGAAAAACACGCAGTTACTTTTTGGCCAATCTAATAAAACAATAAAAATTCCCAGGGAAATTGAAAAAAAAAAAAAGGAGAAATGGTAAAAATACACATAAAGTGTTTCTAGTCACGTAATGTAGTAAAGTATGACTCGCTTGTCGTTGATAAGCTTCTACTGTAGTACGAACTGCACGACGCTACTCTACTTACCAAAGACGTATTTACAAATTTTGTCAATTAAAAACGCACGCGTATTTACAAAGTTTGCCACTTCGACGCGTACATTCTCTGTCGACATTGTTACACAGTTTATGCTACAATAATATTTTCGGTTGTGAATTTTATTTAAGGAAGGAGGATAAATCAAAGCTCACGGAAGGCCGATAGTATGCTGATAGTCCCCGTCGAATCGATACTAGTGCACTATTTCACTTGAACTCGCTGCCCTCTGTGTATCGCGTGCACTGTTTTACAGTCGGATATTTATTATTTTCCATTAACTTGAAAAATCGAACGCCGCCGCGCGCTAATTTAGAATGAGAAATAATTTATTACGGATCACGCTACACGCTGGAGAAAGAAAGACATGACGATCGTGAAATCTGGCGAATTAAATTCGCAGGGACACAAACTGTAATACAACATTTAATACATACATTTAGCACAGGTACACGCGTGCCTTTCGAATTACTCGCCTATATTTACATTGACAAATATGCACAACGCGCGTGCATCGATAAGTATACTTGCATCGCGTATATGCTCCCTTGCTTCGCATAAATCCATGAGAAAGAGCTCTCTCTCCTCGACAAATGCACCGACCATGAAACTATATTTTCGCCGCGTGCAATTCGGCATTCGGTTTTTCTAACTCCAGCAATGGTCGAAGACAATATCGATCCGCAAGTCTTGGGTTTCGGCGTTGCTGCGCCGAACTTGCACGAAATTTAACACTAGAATAACACTGCGTGCATAAACGTAAAATTTCCATCGGAGATGTTGGAAAAAAAAAAAAAAATAGAAAATTTTTATGATACAACGAAGTACGCAAGGTTTTATATTTTACGAAAAATCAATTAAACCTCTAAAGGTAGTTTCACAATTAGAAAAATTAAAACTACTTCGTTGTTCAAAATGACCAATTTGTAACGTTCGTGATGTGACTAAACTGTTTTCACGTTACAAAAATTACAAATTGGTCGCTCTGATCATTTCGTAGTAGTTCCATCGTTAATTTCGTTAACACCAAGTATCGATATAGTTACGTGTCGGTATTGTAGCATAAACTGTGTAACAATGAAATACGTCGACAGAGAATGTACGCGTCGAAGTGGCAAACTTTGTAAATACGCGTGCGTTTTCATTGACAAAATTTGTAAATACGTCTTTGGTAAGTAGAGTAGCGTCGTGTAGTTCGTACAAACGATCACACCGAGTATCGACAGTTCTGACGACGCGGTGTTTAAAGTGATCCCCCTTTTTGTTGCGTGTCTGCCTTTTATATTCCCGAACGTGTTCCGTTTACTTTATCCAACTTCGTAAATACGCCTCCGTTCTTTCTGTATTGTAAAACGGTACAAACACGGCGACAACGCAAGACAGAAAGCACGATCGAGAAAGAAAAAAGCAAGAACTTATTCCTCTCGGTGAACGTACGCGAGCGATATTTGATAAAAATTTAATTTCAAATTTTTATCGGAAATGTTCCTTTCGGCGTTCGTGCTTTCTAACAGAAATATTACCAAAAACGTGGCAAATTTCGTAAATTCGAGAACGATGCGTTCTTTTTTTTTTTTCTTCTTCCTCGAATTTCATTTCTCGAAAGTGGCTTTGCCTCTAGATCGAAATAATCAAGGATTTGCGTTTTAATGCAACTCGTCTGAATTTCTATCGACAAGGTGTCAGTGGTTCTCAACCCTATCCGTAACCTTCGCATCGAAATTTCGTGAATTCAGAAGGAAAGGGATTGCATTCTTTAGAATTTAATTTCCACGAGGTCACTTTGCTTCTAAATCGAAATAATTGAAGAATTCCACTTGACGCAACTCGTCTGAACTTTCGTCGACAAGGTGTCAGTGGTTCTCAACCCTATCCGTAACCTTCGCATCGAAATTTCGTGAATTCAGAAGGAAAGGGATTCCATTCTTTAGAATTTAATTTCCATGAGGTCACTTTGGTTCTAAATCGAAATAATTGAATTTCACTTGACGCAACTCGTCTGAACTTTCGTCGACAAGGTGTCAGTGGTTCTCA